TCTCATCATGTGGAAAGAAGTATGGACAGTGAGGTATGTTCAACAAGCTAAGAGTTAGAGGTGACATGGATCTATGTGCTTTATCTGGTCCATGTTCTGAATTACTGACTATGTTAAGGAAGAAATGTCAGTAATACCTTTCATAACTAGAGAGGTAACGTTAAAGGTAGTGTTTAGCCTCGAAAGTGAAAACCCTGTGCTTTCTCTAATTGCACTGTTTACATTTTGGAATTTCCATGCATGTTTGTTGCTGTCAAACAGTCAGCTGCTGGGGGCTTGAGACACAATAAGATTTCGTTTTGGAAGTCTATTTGATGTATGTGGGCAACATGCAAGGTCTGGTGGCGTCGATGCTGTGTACATCTTTGGGAAACGTTTAGTTGATGGATTGTAGCAATTGCCATGCTTGCGTCATCTATTGTATAATAGTCAGCAGCTCCCATCATATTTCCTTTCTTTACTGTTCCACGGTCAGTTAACTACCATCTTTTTGTCTCTGAAGATTTAATCATAATTTGTGTATTTATAATTGTATGTTTGAGCACTATTTGGTTAATTATGGGTTTTACCTTGTAGGACTGTTATTGTACCTATTATTGTGTGGTGTTCTATAGTCAGGGTCCCAGACAAGTAAAGGGTTTTCCATTTTCCCATACCCTCTTTGGGGGTGGTGTAACCCCTATCTATCACTTTTTTCCTTAGCCTTAGACTGTATCCTGTCCGTTCAGGGATATTGGTGTGTTTTCCCTCAGCCTGTTGTCCCGTGTCCCAGACCCGTTTGGTGCCCTTTTTCTGGGTTTTGCACCTCTGTTCAGCTCTGTTCGTGCCGTTTGGAAGCCAGATGGTCAGACATTCGAATGCGAACGTCTGTCCGCCTGTTTTCCCATTTTATTCGGTTCGTGAACGTTCGATGGTTTGTTCGGCACCCTGGTTCAGGAGACGAATCCACCCGTTAGGGAGTTTTTTTCCTCGTGAAATAACTTCTCTGCCTTTCCCTTTCCGGTTTATTTGATACCTGCCTCTTCCCTCCTCATGTCTCTAGCTGCTGGTCTGGGCCCTGGTGAGCTTCACTCTGCGCTAGTTTGGGTGACTAACCCTCACTGATTGCCCATTTACCTCCTTACAGCAATTTTGTTAACCCTATATATATTTTCCTAATACTAAATTTGTTGGTCTGATTATATTTTGCCATGCCTAAACCTAAAGTGCCTGTATCCCCCCTTTCCCCGGGGACGTGGATACCTGTTTAATATTGGGTGATGGGTGATGCCCCATCTACGCTTGGCTCCCCCCCTTCGGCATGGGACCTTGACCCCCACAGGGTGGAAGCGCAGTCCTTGGAGCTCCAGAAGTCTGTGACCGATACCATTATGGCCGCAATGGACTCTAGGTCCTTGGCATTGTCCCAAACTATTTCCCAAGCACTTCTGACTCACCCCTCAGGCACTGGACCTACGGGGTCCGCGATGCACAGCCCACGTCATGAGTTGGATCCCCCTGGGAACGCACGCAAGAAAGGCTAGCCAAAAATCTAGGCATGTTTCCCCATCTGAACAGAATACAGAGTCTCAGTATGTGACAACAAATAGATACCACCACACTCTAAAACACCTGTGTGATAACCTCTCTCCTCACACAAAAAGCAAAATATACAAATCAGGTGATGTGTAAAGTGGACCTTGAATTCAGGTATCACAGACAGCTGAAAGTATAGGCTCAATGTGCAGGCTGGTGGGAATATTCGGAGGGATCCCACTCCCTGGCTGAGCAGAATCAAGTAGTGTGCCAAAAATCTTCCACTTAATAACGTTCCAGGGCCAAAGATCTTCACTTAATAACGCTCCAGGGCATTAAATGACGATAAAAATCCAATGTATTAAACACATAAAAATAAAATAACAGGCAGTAAATACTGCTAAGTCTCTAATGAGTTTAAATACTTGCAAAACGCGTTTCGCCTAAATAGGCTTCCTCAGTTGCATAGACTTCTTACACACTGCATCCACTGCTTCCACTACAAAAATACACACACAGTAAACACACTACATCCACTACACACACTGCATAACATGATGGATGTGGGTGTGTTTTGGTTGGTGTGGTTTTGTTGGAGAGGGGGCAACATTTCATGCATGGACCAAGGCAGCACAATGCCTTGAGCCGGCTCTGACTGGAGGCAACGTTGGGGGTTAAACCGTTTGAGAATGGTTTAACCCCTCCAGGGAAGAGTGCCTCCAGGGGCCTCCTGGCAACATAACAACTTAATTTAGATGAAGTTGTTTTGGTGCCTGGAGTGTCCCTTTAGCGTTAAAGCTGCATGCACTAAGCAAATAGCATAACACTATTTACTGCTTAATTAGTTGCAGCGCAGGATTACTACAAGCGACAAAACGAAGTCTGAAAATGTTCCAGCGTGAACAGACAGGACTAATTTAATAATAATAATGGATGTGAGTGCAGCAGTAAAGCGCTTACAGTTTTCTTAGGAGCAGAATAGTCTACAGAACTAAATCAAAGAGTCCCAAGTTCCAGGGATTGTATAAAATAACAATACTCGTACAGGTTCTTCTAGTGGAAATATGAAAGGTGCCACCTTATCAGCTTTATAGCCATTCATAACACATACATTGAATGGAAACCAGTTCCTGTTATTTTCCCTTTAATATAAATTAGGTGTGTCCTGTTTTGTAGACAAAGTAAAACAATAATTCATTAAAACAATATGATTTACAGCATACACATATTGTAAAGCACACTTATACTTTTTTTATGACTGTATTAAGGGACCGCTGCACTTTGTATTTTTATTTATTTTCATTGTTGGTAATACATTTAATTACTTAAGTCCTGACATAGAGGACAGTCTGGGGTGTAGGTGATATTGGCTAGCCCCCCAAGAATTCTGGGGGAGACACCGAGGGGCACTTTATCAACATTCTATTTTTTGAGGACATTTCAAACAGCACAGTTGTTTTTTTTTTTTTTTAAACTGTATTACAATATATATTTATATTCCTTCTGTATAATTACAGCTGTATCCCCATTGTATATGGTGTGTGTGTGTGTGTGTGTGTGTGTGTATGTGTGTATATATATATAAACATATGCAGAAGCTGTGTAAGATCTGTTTCCATAGCATTAACTAAAATGTCAAGCAGTTATATGCAAATTAACAAACACAGAGCGCACAAACAGGTTTCTCACTAATCTCTGAAATTAAGCAAACTAAATCCAGATTGGAAATTTTTTGTAATAATAGCTTCTTTGGGCGAAAAAAATCTTACTAATCTGTTCACAGCAGTTATTTTACCCTGAGCTTTACAATTTGGATTTTATTAGTTTATAAACACAGTCAGTAAAGCTGAAAGTTATTATAACCCTATGTCTATAGGTATTTGGATTGTAAACTACATACCTTGCAACTGTCCTGCTTTTGGGGACCTTTCTCACAGTAAATTATTGACTAAAAAACATCTGCAGGTGAATTATTAGAATAGTTTCCTTTCAAAATACAGAAGAGATTGTGTGTGGTTTTTTTAAAGTGTCAAATGTTTAGGGGCTTATTTCTTAATCTCAAATTGTAGTGAATTTAAAATGAAAATAAATGCATACAATACATTAATAAAATGGCTAAAATAGCCACGGTTTGGCACATACCAGTATGGAGAGGTTTTCCAAATCAGCATTTGGCCTAAATTTTTGCAATTCTGGTTTATACTTACTGTTAAGTTGTTTGTGAATAGATTTAGAAGTGTTTTGGTTACACGAGGTGTATTTGTGAAGAAATTGATTCCAGACTATGTACAGTGTTACAGAATATACTGCAATAGAAACCTTAGGGTGTAATGCCTTTAGTTAGGGTTCTTACCAAAATATGTAAATAATTAGCCCCTGGGAAAAACGACTATGTATTTTAAATTGAAAGTGATTACTAAAAATTTGCATATTTTGCATTTAAAAATTTTAAATAAAAAATATGTACTTTTTCTTTCTGGAGTCATCTAAACTGTGGTTGAGAGTTCAAAATTAATTTCACTTAAAGGAATACTTTAGTGTTAAGTTTACAAAGATGTAGTCATAAGACTATAATGTCCCCTCTGCCCCTCTCCCATCCATTAAAAGGTAAAATAAACACCCCCTTTTTTTTTTTTTACTTACTTGATTCATATGCCGATGTCCCTCGGTTCTGGGTCAGGCTCATCCTCCACCGATGTCAGCCAATGGGAGGAACTTAACGTGCATGCGCAGCTTTTGCAGAGCGCACATTAGCCTTTCCCCATAGGAAAGCATTGACTCAATGCTTTTCCATGAGGCTTCAGAATACGCTGGACGTCCTCATGCAAATCGTGAGGACGTCCAGCGTTGTTTCACAGAGTCAAACTCCATGACACTGCCTCTAGTGGCTGTCTGGTTACACTGCAATGTAATCATGAGCAAATTGGTCTGGGTGCCTACAGGGTCCTGGTTAAGCCAAAATAGTTGAAACGGAAAATTTGTATAAGTCAGATATGCTTCCAGCTCAGTTAGTTTTATATACACTTTGGGTTCACTTTCTCATTTTCACATTTGCTTAGTAACCCTGGTAGTATTGTGTTGGTTTTTTTTTTAGTTTTTTTTTTTTTTTACAATTCTCATGTAAGCTTCATAACCTAAAAATAAGACTATGGGACACACCATTAGTCATGTTTCTTTAAGTAATATGGTTATGGTGTGTTTGCTTTTCCCACCTTCTGGCTCATATTGAGCTAAAAGCCTTTGTATATTTATATTACTTGTTAAGTTTGAGATGCCAAGTCAAAGTTCAGTTTATCTATCCTTACACATTACACTTCGTTTAAAAATCGCAATGTTAGAATCCATACTTTAGGACATATAAGTAATATTTACAAATTCCCTGAAGGTGCCTAAACTGTCCTCTTTTTATTTTTTTATTTTATTTTTCAGACCTCAAAAATATATATTTATAAGTACTTGAAATGTAACCCCACTGGGGGGGCACCATGCTGCATATTTGGTGGGAGTGCTCGGTTATTAGACCGTATTGGGACATGGTTGTGGATGTAATTGCGGAAGGTGGCGGATGGGCCAGTCCAGGCATCGGTAGAATTCATTCTCCTGTTTATGTTCCCGGACACGCTCACCAAACACCAAAGGTTGCCTACCTTCCACATACTGATAGCTGCAAACCTTTTGATAGTGGTTGGAAGTCGACAGCGGCTCCTACGAAAGAGGCTGTAATACGACAGGTGTCCCTCAGTGGCACGTACGAAAGGGTGGCCTACATGGTCTCAAACAGACACCATAAAATGATGGCGGCTTGGGACCAATGGAGAGAAAAGCTTGAACACCAAAGAAAAAAAAAAAATACACGTTACCCACAGATGAGTCATGTTCCGCCTGGCTGCATGCCTCTCATGTTTTTTTTTTTTTTTTTTATATTATCTTATTATTACATTTATATATATATATATATAGTGTGTGTATTTAATATTGATAAACAAACACAACATTTAAACTCACAAGTTGTGATTCTTACTCTGTGGAGGATATGGTTGCTCACAGATTCATAATGTAGGGACAGGAAGTGTAAACAATTTGAGTTATTTGTAGTAATTTGCGTAGCACAGATTTTTTTTTGATTGTAAAAAATGTTTTGCAGCTTGGGAGGTGTTGCTGTTGCAGGTTCACGTTAAGCCTTCCAAGTAAAAATGTTCTTGGTGGATAATTACTCTTGCTCTTTGTTTTGAACCGTGTTGGATTGCTGTTATTGTCCAGCAGTGACATCTCTTTTTAGCTATAGTGTCTCCACCTTAATTTGGTTGCACTATGTGGAACCTATACTTGGTTGTACTTTATTTTAGCTTTTGTGTTGATCAATCCCCTAGATCAGAGCTGTCCAAAATGTAGATCCACAGATGTTTTACCTGCAGCTTCTATGATGCTTTGCCATTCTAAAGGCATGCAAAGCACCATGGGAGTTGTAGTTCTACAACATCTGGGGATCTAGCTTTTGGGCAGCCTTGCCCTAGATATTCTCCTGGAAATTGTCTTGCATAAGAGTTCCTGTCTGGGTGAATTGAAAATGATGTAGAGAGATTTGCCATGAAGACGCGGATTACGTTAATGAGCTGTCACCGTGATTTCTGCTAGGCGCAGTTCTTGACGCAGCATTAAACTGACATTTCTAACAGCGTTGGCGATAAACTGTAAATGCAGTGATGTGACATTCAAGTCATGGAGTGGCTTTATTGTCACGCATTGATCGTAATCTGTTTGCAATATCCTCTTATTTCAGTTTTATCCGAACTGACAATTGGTAATTTTAAGTAAAGCTCGGAATTAATCAAGACCTAATTTACAAGCCAGCTGCTGTTTAACGCGTTCTAGGGATATTGCTGTAAATATCATGGATTGTGTCACTTTCCCGCAAGAGCAGAATTTATTAAATTGTAATGCCTCCAAAACAAATACCCTCAGCATTTTACAATCTTTCTAGCCAAATCTGACCTATTTTGACATTGCCTTTTGATACTAACAGTAGAACTCTTGCCAGCTCCTAGTAAGAGATCAGTTGGTGGGTTGGTTCATTTGACAAAACAGAATGGTATGGACAGGGTAGGACTGCCTGAAGGCATCTAGAAAAAATACATTTCTGTGTACTAGATTATGTTTCAGTAACTAGTGGCCCTTGATGGCCTCACTTTATCATTTGGTTGCTGAATAAATGTCAAATATTTAATTTGGGGATTGCTGAGATCCCTTGGTTGGGTGAGGGCTGAAGAGCAATGCAGAGAATGCATATATTCATAGTACAGTATATTGAAGACTGTGATTCTACATAAGCAGGTTAGAGCTGCCCTACTAGCAAGGTCCCCTCCTACTCTAGACATGTATGAATGTAGGGTATTCAACATAATGCCACCAGATTCATTAAAATACAAAATTGTACTTCTTTATTAGAGGACACATGTATAAATATTACCTCAAACCAGTCTCCGGCTCTCCATAAAAAGGCTAGCTTCCTCGGAAGAATATTTTGCATCTGCCACCTTGCCTGGTCAATGTGTACTATCTTGATCAGGGGTTCCCAATTATTTTTTTCCTGTGGAACCCTTTGACATAGTGTATCAATATAGTGCACACCTCCCCCCCACCCTCCCCCCCTGGAAAAAAACAACAAAAATTGCTCTGTTTTTCGTATGTGCCGGTGTGTGTCAAGGTGTGTATATCTGTGCTTGTATGTGCTGGTGTGTGTGTGCATATCTTACACACACACACACACGCGCACACAGATACACACACCTTGAAACACAGTGTGTATCTCTGTGTGTGTGTATTTATGTATGTTTGTATGTATGGATCTGTGTTTCAAGATGTGTGTTTCTGTGTTTGGATGTGCCAGTGTGAATTAATCTGACACACAGATACACACACTGGCAGCTAGTGGCACACAGATACACACACCATGACACACACTGTGTATCTGTGTTTCAAGATGTGTGTATCTGTGTTTGTATGTGTCGGTATGTGTCAAGGTGTGTATAATCTGTGTGTGTATCTCTGTTTGTGTGTGTGTGTGTATCTGACACACAGATACACACACACACACACACACACACACAACCACACACCCACCTTGACACACAGATACACACACTCAGATACACACTGACACACACACTCAGATACACACAGTGGCATATACACACACTTGCACCCACAGATACACACTGGCAAATACACACACTGACACACTGGCACAAACACACACACACGCACAAACACACTGATACCCTAATGGATTCCCTGGGGTCTAGTGGGGCTGCAGGGCAGCTTGGATTGTGTCACTTTCCCGCATGAGCAGAATTTATTAAATTGTAATGCCTCCAAAACAAATACCCTCAGCATTTTACAATCTTTCTAGCCAAACCTGACCTATTTTGACATTGCCTTTTGATACTAACAGTAGAACTCTTGCCAGATCCTAGTAAGAGATCAGTTGCTGCGCGTGCAGTCCCTGGGGTCCAGTGGGGCTGCTGAGCGGCTGGCATGCGGGTGGCGAAGGAGCAGTGATCTCTCTGCTCAGCTCCCTTGCGCGCCTCTTAGTGATGCCGGAGTGACGTCATATTCCGGCTCCAGCATCACTGCTGTGCGTGCAAGGGAGCTGAGCAGGGAGATCACTGCTCACTGCTCACTGCTCCCTCGCCGCCCGCTGCAATTTTGTTTGAAATATTTTTGGCGGAACCCCAATAAGTGTTCCGCGGAACACCAATTGGGAAACGCTGGTCTAGATGGTACAATTTTTATTCTCTGTCGTTAGAGAACCCACTAAAACAGTCGAAAGAAAATTTGCATGAAAAGGAGATGGGAACATAACAGATATTAAAGCTAAATGTATAGTTCTGTTTTTAAAGGGGCACTATAGGCACACAGACCACTTCATCTCACTGAAATGTTATTGGTGCCATGTCCCTGTTACCCTTAGTCCTGCAATGTAAAACATTGTAGTTTTAGAGGAACTGCAATGTTTACATTGCAGTACAAAGAGTTCCTCTTGTGGCAGTCTACCGGACAACCACTGAAATTGCTTGCTGGAGTTTCACAGAGTTTGACTGCGTGAAACAATGCTGGATGTTCTCATGCTCTGCATAAGGACAGATTCTGTCTGATGGTTTTGAGGAATGGTTCGTGGGTATGGACAAAGCAAGGGCGATAGCAGCCCGCCCTGCTGGGTCCTGTTTCTTATGGAGTCAGTAAGTGCCCCATTAATGCATACCCGAGCCGTAGGGGTCTCTTACATGGGGCAAACCCATCTCAGGAGAAATGGACCTAAACTATAACCTTTTCATCTCATTTGATTTGTTATATTGCCTGACGTCTCCTGGTAAAATCTCTTTATTCAGTGTTATTCCATTTCCGAGCAGTTTACCACGGGCTTCCAACCGGCGAGCACCCCCCAGGAGGTATAGCTAAGGCAGAGATTTCTCACTTCCTTCTAGCCATACCAATTAATACCTGCAATAGGCACTGTGATAGGCTGAATGGGGTTAATTGACAACTAATAATAGATGGAGATTACATACTGTATGAGGAGGATATGGAGTTAAAGGAACACAGTACCTACTATAACAACTTCATATAATTAAAGTTGTTATAGTGCCTACAGTAATGCCTCCCCCCCCCCCCCAACCGTGTCCTATGTTCAAAATATCAATATATTATTAATATCTGCTGTCCTGACTTTGTTCCCAGAGAACTGTATCCAAAAAGTGTAGGGAGCTCACATCATTAGACGTGCTCTGGCTACATACAGGGCAGTAGAATCTTGCATAAATCTTGAAATAGTGTTCTCTGCAAGTAATGGCCTGCTTGATTAGTAGCTTTCCTGGTGTGTATTCATGCCAGTAATTTGAGCGGACATAACCCTTTTCTGGGTGGGTCCGCTTTCTTTACCTCACTTTCACCAGCTATATTGACGAGTATGCTGAAGACCTTATATTCGGTGTTGGTACCAGTGTTTACTGTTATGACTTCAAGGTTGGTGTAGTCCTTCTTATACTCCTTATCCTGTGAAGCTGTTACTTACCTATCCAAAAAAATGGTGTTACGTTTTTGGTTTTTTATATATTCTTTATTTTTGAAGTACATTGTCAGATACATTGTGGAGTTATAACATTTAACAGGTTACATGAGTTGAAGCAGTAACATAGTGATAAAGAGGGTTTGTTGCGCTTTTTTTCTTTTTTCGTTTGTTTTAACATAAGCAAGAAACAGGTTTATCAGAGGAGTCAACATGCCGTCTATACAAGATTTAGTTAAAACAAGGTAGCGTATATAATATAATCTGCATAATATGTTTAACTAGGGATGCATACAGTTAGTTTAAGTTGACATGCTAACAAACCGTGACAGGTTGATATTCCACTGGGTACCACACACTTTTTATATCAAATTACAAGAATAGGACTTAGCTCCCTGCACCCTTGACTCCTCATTGTAAGTGCACCACTGGAAGTGATGTATAAAGGAAATATCCCTGCCCATGGTAAATAACGTAAATCAGCAGTGTGAAGAGAACAATAATAAAAAGGGCTAACCGGCTGGACATAGATTTATCTAATATAACCATATGATAGCTTGTGAATCTGTCCGCTGGGCGCAAGACACAAAGTAGATTAGGTAATCGAGTGTCTCTGTAAAAGTAGGTTAGTGTGCTAATGAGCGGTTCATCCCTGCTGGTCATGTTGTGCCATCTCGTCCTTT